GGGTCTCGAGGTATGCAGCACATGGTTTAATTTATGATTGAATACCCTGAAAGAATCTCATGGGATATGGAAAAGAGGTTGACCAATCATGGTTGTTTATTTGGGCGGATAGGTGAATTTTTGCTTCAGTTGCTTTCTTGCAGAGGAAAATGAGTAGGATGAAAAGATAGCAATTAAATCCTAACACTGGTCTTATATAATCTGTATTGGGTCATTTTCTCTTGTTTTGATGTGGATGAACTGCCTTGACAGCCTAGTTGAGCATAGAATCTCTCTATCTGGAGAAAAACGTGTTTAAACAGCTAGCATAAGATCCAGTTCTCTAAGCAACATATGTATCAGCTCTGTTTATCAAATTCTGTCGGTAAAACCAAAAGTAATAGGGGACACCAGAGGTTGCAAGCAACCTTGATTTTGTAATGTCCCGTTGTCCAATCTATTTTAGTTTGATATTCCCCTCCCTGTTGGAGATTTTTTTTACTTCTGTGGCTACTTTCAAGAATGACGATTGTCGCTGATGTCCTTGTAGTGAGTTTGTGATTATGTGACTAAATAATAATAATAATAATAATAATAATAATAATAATAATAATGTGTGTGTATGTAAATTACAGAAATGAGAAATGGGTTTGCATTTGCACTGCAGTTTTCAGTGATGCATTATTAATCAAAAAGTAATAAACAAGAAAAAAAAAAAAAACAACAGTAACTCAACCAATGAATAATAACTTATTGTGGCCAAACACCTAGGGGGATTTAAATGTTTTATTCAGACATAAATGCAGGGAACAACCACAACTTCTGTGACAAACCAGAGAGAGTCAATGAAGTGAATTTCAGTTACTGAAATTAAGTTATTAAACTTTATTCATTATTTTCAATTCAGGACGATAGTTGTTCATTCTGAGACAGCTATAAGTAGAATTCTGGACAGCTGTGGGACACTGAGGAAAAACATTTATTTTGAGCCCTGATAGAAAGAACAGTTGATTTTATTTTTCCTGAGCACAGAGTCAGGCTAGCTGTTTCCCCCCTGCTTTCAGTTGTTATGCTAAGCTAAGCTAACCTACCTTTTCCTGGCTGTGGCTTCATATTTAACAGACAAGTATGAGAGTGGCATTGATCTTCCCCTTTAATTCTCTGCTTGAAAATATATAAGCATATTATAAGCTTATTTCCGAATGTTGAACTATTCCTTTAAGCGAATTAAGCAAGTTAGGGTGTTGTAATAATTATGTCACTACATAGCTTGAGTAGGTTAACAGAAGCTGCTATTTGATCTAACCACAATAAGCTGCAGTGGCTATAACATATGTACTGATGCAGAGGAGTCTTCCGCTTTACCCCTTTGCACATGTACTTCCTTTACAGTTTTAACCACACTCTTTTCTCATTCATTTTTTCTTCTGTCTGCTTCCAAGCTCTCTCTAGGTCACAGGAGCAGGAGCTGCTGCTGCTGAGTCAACGTCACAAGTGGAATACCGGACTCAGAATCACACACACGCATATACACATACAAGACATGACTATTAAGTTTACCCTAGACTGCCGCTAGAATAATCCTCTCAGCTACTGCATCTGAAAGTAGGCTAAGTAAGCAAAGCAAACATTCCCAGACTGTCTAATAGGTAAGGCTAATAATCTATGCGGATCATGATTCACTTACAGGACAAGTCCACATCAGACAGGTCTATGCTTATGTTATAAATGAAAATTTGAATATATATTTTTAATATATATTCAAAATTAATATATATTTTTTAATGCCTGCATGATCGGATCTGGAATAATAGCCGATAATAGTTTATTTGTTTTGCTTTTAAGAAAGGTAATATAGCGATATTTGCATTTATAATCTTGCAACAAATGCAAAAAAGTCTATTCTTTGACTACTGTGAAAGTGCGTACACAATGTACAAACTGAGAGTGTGTGTTGCACCCACAAAATGAGCTGCCTAAAACACGTCATTTCCTTAATTTCTGCAACTTTAAATAACAAATACCCACTGTTCAAAAAGAGCACACTTTTTCAGCCTAAACATAACATGCATCTGTTTTAACCTTGTAATAAAATGCACCTATATTACAAAATCAACAAGAAATAAAAAATAGCTGTTTCAGGGCCCTACATGTGTGTTGTAGTGAGAGAGTGCATGTGGCAGACTAAGATAATTTCTTATCTTCATGTACTATTCTTGCAATGTTCTGACTTGTCTGTCCTCTCTAGCACAACTGTCTTTATCTATGCTCTCACTCCAAAGCAGTGTGTGTAAACCACGTCCACTGCAAAAAGTCATTAATGTACCTTGAAAGTTCAGACTGTCAACTTCCCAACTTGTGTAATGGTTATATGGCCAATCTGAGTGCATTTCCTTATTTGTCAATTTTGTCTGGCAAAAACCTGGTAAATGACTGACAGAGAAAAAAATGATTCCTTTGGTATAGACAATAATTCCCAAAGGTCCAAAATGAATAAGGCAAGCTGTGTTTTTGTCTAGGTGATCTGGTTCTACACTTGTTGTAAGAAAAACAAACTAAGACATCCATAATTCCCATTTTCCAGCTTCACAAATGTGAGAACTTGCTGCTTTTCTTTGTCCTCTATGAAAGTAAACTGCCTATCTTTTGGAGTGCTGGTTAAACGAAAAACAAACTGGAATGGGTATTTTTAATGATTTTAACATTCTTAAGACTAAACAACTAATCGGACACAGTCAGCATTGCCTGAGATATAGTGGTGCACAGATATGGAGTACAATCCTAAATATTATTGAGAAACAATTGTGACTACATTTAAATTGTGGTGTTCAATGAATGATGATGTTATCATCAGGATTATCCTTTTCTTTTTTTAAATATAATTATAAGTAGATTTGTGCAGTTCATATGTTTATATTGTGTCTTGTTTTCCGTTACTTTGTTTGTCCTTGTGTGTATTTTATTTTGTTAATTCTTTTTAAGCTCTTGTTTTGGGGAAATGTCCACTGTATAAGCTTGCAGTTTCTTGACCTTCCCAGTCACCTGTTTCACTTCTGTTATCAGCAATAATGCTATTTGTATAGTGCAAATAAAAGCAAACTACTAAGCTGTACCTGTCCATGTAAACGACCAATGTGTGTGAGAAATGGTGGCTTAAATATCTACTTCTTTATTGCTTTTTTTGCAGATCTGCTCTTAAACATCCCAACCATTTAATCAGGACAAAAGTCTAACAGAAAGTATTCAGAAAGTAATCTTGATATCTTGCATAATCTGACCATCTGAGTAGTAAACCAGTGAGTAAACCAGTGAGCAAGTGATTTTGCACCACATATGGCAATAAATCAATCCTTTTCTCTTTGAGGTCGGCTCTCTGTGGCCTTCAGTGATGTAATTTTATACGACAAGAAAACTGTGTTAGCACTTTTAGTACGGCAATAACTAGCAGCACATGACAAGGGCCATATCAGAACATTGTTCTCAGATATCTATCAATCATGTGACCTTTGAGATTGAGGCCTGGATAAGTGTCAGAGTAGTGCAAACTCAACAAGACTTTGATACTTCCTTGTTTGTCAAAAACGTTACTGACGCAATTGTGCATATTTTTTGTGCAACTGATATGGGGAGGCCGTGAATGAAGTGGATGGTACAAGGATTTTAAGATACTGAGGTCAGATTGATCTTGTACTTGAAAAGATCACTCACCGAAGATCTCCCCATTCTTGGCATACTCCGTGACTAAGTAAAGCATGTTCTTTGTCTCCATCACCTGAGAGAGGGAGAAGACGAAGGAACAGGGGCCGAGGGAGGGGAGAAAAGAGTGGGAGAGTGAATACACACAGAAGACCAATTTTCAATAGCAATAATCATCAGATAATCCAAATTATACGTCTCCTGCAACAAGAGAGAATTAGAATAATAAAAAAAGAAACACAAATATTACACAATTGTCCAAATGGCTTTCTCTGAAGGTCATCCACAAAGTCAAGAGCAAAACAAAACACATGAATGGCACAGAGTCTAAATATGGCATCCGTGTAAAAGAATGGAGGTGGACTGTTGGTGTTGCCGAGTATATCTGAATGGTACTTAAAACCTTTCGGTCCTCACACGGTGCTGTGTTGTGTAGGAGGAGGAGAACCGATTTAGAAGCAGAAACACTCAGGAGATGAATAGAATTAAATGCGGAGGGTAGAATCAGATGGAGAGGGGAGGATGAATCAGACACAGTGAGCCAGACATTCACACTAGAAATCCCACGCTCATTGTTTATGATCAATTTTCCATCTGTTACACTGACCGATTCATGGATTTAGGAAATAAAAGCCAGGTTTGTTTTTTTGTTTTGTTTTTAGTTAGCCCTTGTTGTGTAACAAACAACATTTTGTCCTCTCTGTATTGTGGAACTGGAAAAAAATTGATTGATGAATTAAGCCCATTTATAGGTACTCAGTATCATTCAATCAAAACAACAGCATTGTGAGCCAATACAGCATCTAATCTGGGAAATAAACCCTTCTCACAGCGGACATTTTGACTTTTCACAGCAGGAACAGCACAGGTGTAACTAATAGTATTAACAACGGCCCTGTTTCATTCAGGTGTGCCAGTAAACCAGCACGTACAATAGCAGGGCCCTGGCACTGGCACACCTGAGTGGAATGCAGCCATTATTAATGTTATTATTTACACCTGTGTTTGACAAGATAAAATATCCACCATGACAGATGTCTATTCTCAGTGTATGGCGGATATTTCCAGCATTTGTTGTTGTTGCTGTGATGGAATCTAACTGCTACATGCTAACTAGCTTTGTTCGTTTTGGATCTATTAACTATCTTAACTCAGTTTGGTGTAGTCCCTTTGCAGTTTAGGTTATATTTCACCGATAACAAAAACATATTCTTACTTTGAGAAAGAAGAAAAACGTTTATTTCCACAAAAACACTAAACAAAGGAAGCCAAAGCTCGCAGCTGTTAAATCTAGTCTAAACACAAGCAGCTGCACAATAATTTTGCCAAAATGAAACAGTCAAAACACAGGCAAAATGATGATTTTAATCACAAACCGTCCTATCAACGAAAAGAAAACAAGATTACTATTACAGATTTGATGCAAAATAGGTGTTGAGGTTTGATACGCAGCCATACTTCTAAGTTCAACATGTTGTATTAAAGACCTTCCTACCCTGTGGCTAATCTTCCATTTGTATTACATACTTTCCTACACCTGCAACAGTAAAAGCCTTGATGCACTGCCTGAAGATAATACATTAAGTACATGATATACAGTATTTCTGGCTCCAGACAAAGCAGACTGCTTGATGTGAATAACAGCTATGGGGTAGAGAACTGAAACCAAATCTCTGTCATGTAATAAATTATAATACAAGTGGAGATTTCATAGTCTTGATTTTATACCAAGAAATGCAAGCTGCACTTTGTGTTTAGCGCTTTATGGGGCTTGACACTGCCGTTCTCAGAAGGAGATCTATAACATCAGTGTTAAACATGATGAGTACATTTCTGAATATCAGGCCATGAGCAATGTGCAGCTGTAGTCCACGCGGTGAATCGCAAGCTGAATACAGGCTCTCGGAGTATAAATAAATAATTTATTCATTTAAATGGTTTTAACAATGTGGGCAGTTAATTGTAATGTAGATGATATCAAATTAGGGTCATGATTCATCAATTTATTCAACAATTTCTTGTAGCATGATTGATAATTAAATGAAGTACTCATCTTGTATTCGCATTACTACAAAAGTGAAGATAGACAAAGAGTCTGAACAATATCCAGTTATAATTTGAAATGCTTAAAATCTTTGTGTTTAGTAGAGAGACTCATGGCAGTCTAGAGTAAGAGGGAAAGTGGAAACATCCAAGAGAGTCAGAGAATGGTGAGATGTAAAAAGGGAGTAAAAGAAAAGAAAGTGATGGCAAACCAGGGTCAATAGAGAAGAGGCCACACAAAACATGCCAAACTAGAGTGGGGTCCACAGTTGGGTAGTCTGTGTCTCTCTGTGTTTTCATTAGCTTGGGCTTCCCTTTAGGCCACAGGGTCAACCCTAGTTTATGAAACTGGAAAGGAAATCACTAATTGACCTGAGCTGATTGGATGGATTGGCCGTTGAAAATAATGATACACACCAAAATAACACAGCAGAAAGCTGGAACAGTGCCTCGTGGTTGTGTAATGATAATGAACACTCATTTACTTTCCCTAAACAAACTAACAGGACCCAGAGGCTTATGTAATGCAACTGAATCACCAAAACTGTTGAGTTACTGTTGGAGGCTATTTTGTGTTAGACAGCGGACATCACGCTAACTAGGTGAAAAAATAGTTTCTATCTGCATAGTTCACGTACCAACAAAGTGCAACAGCCAGAACAAACCATTTTAGGAAATAAACTTTGAGTCTCATAAAATTTTATGTCAATTTCCCTTCCACACCTGGGCATACATAAAACTACTATGCAAGGTGTCATAGTGGCATGAGGGACATGACATTTATGGGATTTATTTCTATAAAAATGCTTTCAGCACACATCATACTACTGTTAGTGACAATGGGCTCTATTTCAACATTAACAATGGCTCTCTTCTATTCAAGTGTCAAAGTGTAAGTGTAAGTCATGACAGTGTGACAGTGAGACACCATGCACAACCCTGGACCTTGAAACTGAACTAAAAGTAACTCAATCATTTATTTTATTATTTACACCTGATTTTCTTATTCTGACAAATGTCTTCCACAAAAAGGACTTCACTATTAACTGTGTTCTATTTTAAACAATGAACTCTAAATTGTGAGTGCTGTGTGTTCAGAGGATGTCCCGCATAAACCAGGAGAATAATGTGAACAACATATCAATTTCATGTTTGCTGATGTAAAACAAAAGTTCAATTATTCAGCATCATTCTTTAGGTTTT